AATTGGCGAACCGGGAAGGCCGTAAATTGCGAAACCGAAAGCGCAAACTGATTTGGTAGCACTTTTTCACGAAACCGGAGTAGATACATCGTGAACAATTGCATTCGCAGCTGAAATTCCATTGTTGCGACAGTTGGAACATACTCGGAATGTGAAAGCGAAGTGCAGTAAATTACAATGGTTAATAAGCGACCGTAAATGCCCCGTGGAACTCTGTGCAGTTTTTCTCCCCCCCCTTAGGGGAAAACTTTTTACAAGGAAGAGGAATAATAACGACGAGAAAATTGGCACATTTTAAGTAATTGCCCATCTATCACCGTTCCCCCTTATCGCACTCGCGTGAAAATAATTCATTCATAAGTATCAGCTCGAATGTTTCACAAGTCGTAGCTTTGTCACCCGGAAAAAGTTATATATCTTTATAATGCATAATTTACGATGCGCAATGTGTCCTCGCTCGTAATGCAGAATCATAAAATTGGCCCATAAAGTCCGATAATGGCAGATCATTTCTTATGATGAACTTCCTTTTATAAACACGTGTCAAGAGGTATCTATTTAATTTTACTACCTACTTGAATATTCGCAGAATAGTTTCTTACCCTTGTTTAGATATTGCTGTTTAGATATCAGCTTATAACGTTCAAATTTGTTCACGCTCAATATGCCAAATATTAAAAGTGGTCCGTAAACTGTGAAGATGATGGATACTTTTTCATCGTGAATTCTTTTCATATGAAATACGTACCAATAGATTAGAGCTTAATTTGTTTGGCCTTTCGTGTATTCGCGGAACTATTACTTACTTCCGTGGAAATATCGCTGATCACGAGTAGCGTTGATTACATTAATAATATTGTATATTGACAGATATTGTAAATGAATTTTCTCGGTCTTAAGGGGTGGTGCTCTTCGAGGAACATTTTCATCACTGTTCGCAATAGCCTCGAGTTTTTCATGATTTCGTCACTTGGAAATCAGCCATTACTGACAGCTATTAAGAGAGGCATTAGATGTCTTTGCAAACTTGGACGATGGAGATGCAATAGTAAAAGAGAATGATGTCCCGTTACTGGGCAAGTTCACGGCCTTAAGGTGAAGTGAAACCCCCTTCAAATCAGTCGATTCGAATACAACACTTCTTTTTAAGGGTATTAGACCAAACTGTCCGAAACTTTGACACATCACTCCTGATCATCTAAGAATTGTCCTAACACATTCAAAATTTGGATTTTTGGAAACAATTTTTTAACTTACAAGGAAACATTCCCAAGTATCCGCCCTCGATCTTATTGATTTCCATATATGTTGAAGAACCTAAAAATCTAAGAGACACGTGTTTTTTTATATCTGCAATGGTCCACATTTAACGGGTGAAAAAGTCACGATATAATCCAATATAGCTAGTCGAAATATACCCGTATACCACCTACATTCATTGTTTACAACCGATGTATAAATGTTTATTGGCAAAAAGCAAAAAACACGTATTTCTTTATTTTTTGTGAGTAATCACATCGCGTAAGTGGGACTTAAGTAGGAATACTTGTTTAATAGATATTACAAAAAAGTGTCGCTTGAAGGGTAGTTCACCTCCTTAGGGGGGGTGTAGCATTGCTGGACAATAGTGTGTTTTCACCGTCCTTATACAGAATACATTTACACCAAGTTTCGTCGAAATCCCTCCATTGCTTCTACGAAAATTGTTATAAAAATCGAATTTTCGCCAAATTTTGGGGGGTTGTTTCACCCCTTAAATGTGGACCATTGCAGATATAAAAAAACACGTGTCTCTTAGATTTTTGTGTTCTTCAACATATATGGAAATCAATAAGATCGGGGGTGGACACTTGGGAATGTTTCCTTGTTAGTCCAGACCAGGACCAAAATGGCGTCGAGCTCTCACATTTCGATCAATATACAATTATCGAAGGCTCTGATATGAGAAACGAAAGGGTCAGGACAATTTTACGGCAATTTAGAGCACTCTGGTAATCGATAAACGCGCATGTGAACGGGATAAAGGCAAAAAAAGTGTTGTATGTGCTTCTATGTTAAACCATGGGAATACGAGGTCTCGGAGTGAAAATTTAATTGACCTGGAAATCACAGATGGCGCAGGGGTTCCACCTGCAGTCGATTAGGGCCCCAGAAACCATGAATCCAGAGAATTTCTGGAGTTTTACTTCGATTTCTTTATAATTATTGTACGAAAACGACAGGTGAAGTATGCCATTTGATACAATATCCAATATAATTTGACACAGCTGTCAATATAAAAACGAACGTCGACGACGTAGGCATTTAGAAAAATCTTCTTTATCGACAACGATCAACTTCCTCGACGTGTTTCACTTCACCTTAAGTTCTAATTCATCCGTGACGTTGACTCCAATTATTTCCAAGTCACGGCGTTATGTCAAGTGAACCGATTGTCATAGAAATCGTTGAGTTAAGGTTAACCAACATCGAAGACCTCTATTTTAAAGTTGTGTACCATCCGGACGGAGGGAAAAGGAAGGAAACGTGTACGAATGCTCCGCCATTTGCAATTCATAATGTTCTTGTGGCGTACATGGAAACAATGCGGTATATCATAAGTACCTGTTAACATAACACCGTTATACGACACTCAACAGGATAAGTGAGAAAACATCTGAGGGGGAAACAACTCGGGCATTTAATTAAACATAATTAAGCTTGATCTTTACCAGTCAAAGCTGTCAAATAGAGCGACTCTAATCGGAAGATTATTAAGTACGTTTCTGGGGCACTCGCACTTTATCGCTGCATCATCCAATTAGGTATCAATATTGAAGCGCGATAATTATTCCAAAGGAAAGGATTGCGAAAATCCACGGTTACGTGGAATGGCTGACGGAATTTGCCCGAAATTGCGGAGCCCTCGAGAGACGCAGGAAATGGCCTGGGGAAGGGAATTTCCAGAATGGGAGTTTAAATTATTAACAATCGCGTTGTTTACGCTACTGGTAAACGAGTGTTGCGTCAAATGCCATTATCTGAGCACACACCGTTTCCAAATGACGCATGTATTAGGAAATATACCATAGAGGGGTTCATAGCGAATTGCCAAGACGCACAAAGATGCTTAGCATGCCAGAAACATGTGACCCCGCGTAGGGTCAGCGGAGTTTCAACTTTTAACATAGTGTTTCTAACCTAACATAGGCATGTCGGCGTTGAAGTATACCCGTTTAGGCATTTTTAGGCTGGGAAAAAGAGAGCTGTCTGTTAACGAAAGTTTTAATTCGCGTGGGGTCATGCGCGGGGTCAAAGGAAATGTGCACATCGTCGCTTGAAATGTGCTTACGTAAAGACTTAATATCGCGATGAGACCCGAACGCGTTGAACGATTTTCGAAAATAGAAAAACCTAGCAAGGAAAACGTGACGTGTTAAAAGTACCGAAGAAATAGCGAATGGACGGCATATTTTTATAAAAGGGAAATTCGATACTTAATAATGCTTAATTTACGAAAAGTGTAACACAGTAAGTAGTATATATATATATATAGCAGTACTGTTTAACATGACTAAAGGAAACTATGTTCAAATCTCGGTAATTATAAGTACGTTTCTCTACGTTGTCCGAAACGATATATGTTATTCTCTGATTTGCAGGATACTTATTTTCAGCCGTTGCGATTGTTTCCGGAGTGTATTTGGAGACTCGTAAGGTCTGAACAATAGGGATCGAATAATCCGAGTTGGCCACCTAACCTCATAATCGTGTGAACTTTACTCGGCGTCTCTTTTTTGCCAGACAGCTCCGACTTAATGGTCTTCCTAGAGAATCGCTTCTTTGGAGATAGTCACGCTGTCTGTCTGAAGTCGACGACATTTTCCACTAGCGTTATGTATGCCGAAAAAAGTAATTGTTCTAGCCTGGTAATTTTCCCCTAGACGACCTGTGATTTCCGGTCGGCATACGGTCACACGACGCAGTCACAAAGTCTGGATAGCCTCTAATTAATAGTTGCCTCGATTTAATTAATAGTCGCTTCGAATTTATAGTCACCGTTTACTTGTCTTTTTCCCACACTCGTTGCATAAATTTAATCATCCTCTAACGCTAAATGGTAGTCATTACTTCAAGGAAAAAAAAATGAGACCTACGCTTTCAATTTCTACCCGTGTAGTAAACGATTAAAGATATCCTTCTTTCCAAGAAAAGTAATTATTTTTTCCGTAAGCTGGAAATAATCAGATACGGTGCGTGACATTGCTCGGTATAGTATATGTAATCGCATTCATGAATAATTGCTCTAATCTAATAAAATGACTTTTTCCAAGGTGCTACCGAGACCGCAGGCTAATTACGAAATCACGCCGCCCATGTTCAGATTACGTTACTCATCTCTATTCGTAGCAGCAAACTGCAACACAATGTTGCAGCTTCTCGAGGATTCGTAATTGAGTGTGCAGCCGAGAAAGAATAAATGCGAAGTTCATCGAATAATTCTACATATTCGAGATTAATCGGCGAAATCGCAGACTTCAGTTCCACAAATCATGGTTCTTTTCTAGTGTCATATTAACTATCGATTGACTTGAGTAGTACCCTGATCGATAATCTTGAGTATGATACAATGTCAATCAAACGAGAGTTTATTATCCGCGTCTGAATATGCAGTTTTTACTTCTTCGGTGATAGAAGAAAAAGAGGAGAAAAATGTTCTTTACGCCAAGGTTTACGTATTGCCGGATGTTCATGACGGACATGCCTCCACTCTACACATGGCATTGTCTAGGAGTATAATTAGTGTCATTTTCATGGCATTACGGTGTTATTGCGGAAGAAGTCAACCTTGATCACGAAGGCGGAGATGGTTAAACTGAAATGTCGGCCTATAAACAATTTTAACCGGCAATAAACTGCCTAGAATACGGCCGTCTTCTTGCACGTCATTGTCTTAGTCAAGTTTCCTAGCGGTAAACAATTGTTTATCGATGTCGATAAAGTCGTCTCCTTGGTTGCAGGATCCGCAAAATCGAGGAGGAAAATGCCCTATCAGTGATTCATCAAGTCTGAAAAGGGAAGAACTCGTCCAAAGTACATCCTTCCTGCAAATCTGTCAAATCTCGAGGAGCATCTTTATTCGGTGTGTTAAGGTGAAGTGAAACCCCCTTCAAATCAGTCGATTCGAATACAACAGATTTTTTTAAGAGTATTAGACCAAACTGCCCGAAACTTTAACACATCACTCCTGATCATCTAAGAATTGTCCTGACACATTCAAAATTTTTGGAATTTTGGAAAAAATTTTTTAACTTAGCCCAGACCAGAAGCTAAATGGCGTTGAACTTTCATATTTCGATCAATATACAATTATCGAAGGCTCTGATATGAGAAACGAAAGGATCAGGACAATTTTACGACAATTTAGAACACCCTGGTAATCGATAAACTCGCATTTGAACGGGATAAAGGCAAAAAAAGTGTTGTATGCGCTTCTATGCTAAAACGATGGTAATACGCGGTCTCGGAATGAAAATTTAATTGACCTGGAAATCACAGATGGCGCAAGGTGTCCCTCTGCAGTCAATTAGGGCCCCACAGAGGATTTCTGGAGTTTTACTTCGATTTCTTTATAATTATTGTACGAAGACGACAGGTGGAGTATGCCATTTGGTACAATACCCAATATAATTCGACACAGCTGTCAATATAAAAACGAACGTAGGCATTTAGAAAACTCTTCTTTATCAACGTCAATCAAGTTCCTCGACGTGTTTCACTTCACCTTAAAGAACTAGTCATTAAAATTAAGTAACAGTAAGGCGTGAGAGTATCTTTTAAGTAAGGTTCTCGAGTTAAGGAATTAATCCCCTAAGGGATCCGAAACGACATTATAAGACTACATGTACTCGTTAACCCTCAAGAACGCATAAGGTATTCCGCATGCTCAAAGATTTGATCATAAGTTGGTAAAGAACGGTCGAGAAGTAGAGAGACGCTGAAAAAACGACGTTGCTCGACAGATTTAATGACATGGTATTTAATTTCTTCTCCAAGAGTCGAGTAAAAAAGATAAAAGGTGAAACACCAGACTAACTGGAATTAATTCAGAACTGGTGGAGGGTTCCTCGTGTCATCGTTCTCCACGAGCGCTAAGTTATTTCGAACGTTCTGGATTCTGTTAATAGTCGTTTCACGGACATGCGAGGTTACAATTATTTCGAATACCGGTTTCAGGCAGGCTTGACAAATTTACTACAAGCTAGGAAAGGCGAAATTCCATTCAGCCTTGAACGTTTATTTTTCCCCCTTTTTACTTTTTTTTTTTACGTTATCCTGTATCCCTAAGTTGACTTTACAAGTTACCATCAATTAACGGGAGTTCTTATTTTTAGGCAGATAAATCAAGATTCCATCATTTTTATGGTTTTCGTAATTAACATAAGGATCAACGTAGAGTTCGTAAATAGATCCTTTCCAGGAGAGTTATTCTTAATGTTTTCCCCTGACGTAATAAATGACCGATCACTTCAGAATGATTAAATTTTTCCGGAATAAAATAATACCTTGCGGTTCAATTAATGCGCGATCATAAGCCCAGCTTCCTTGACGAGATGAGATCCTTGAAGCATCTATCAGTCTCTTCCGAGTCGTAACAATTCAAGCTATCTCCTCTAGTTATCTGACCAGCTCCCCAACATTAGTGATACATTTCTCCGAGCCAGCTCATTCATAATTTCTCGAGTGACAACTTTTCTTCCGAAATTATATCTTCTTGTATAACTCCAATTTCATCCGTAACTTCCCAAAATTCGATCAACGGCTAGTAATAAAGACCACCCTCTATCATGTTGCAGAGTCCAATCCCAGTCTGGTAAGCTCAGCAAGAAGAGGATCTCCAAGTCGGCAGAGCATCATCAGCCGATAACGAGTGTCATCGTATCCAGTCCGCGATAAGAGCCCGCCGATAGCCAAATTATAGGTCAACCTCGTCATGTATCAACGTTCCGTTCTGTTGAACCTGCCAAAGGCCGACTCCATCGACATCGAATTTACCGACATCGAGTACCAAGTCCGGGTTGGCTACCAGAATTCGAAGAAGACGATCCTGCACGAGATCAATGGATGCTTCAAATCCGGAGAGCTGACGGCAATAATGGGTCCATCAGGAGCAGGGAAGTCGTCCTTGCTGAACATCCTGACAGGGTTCCAACGAAACGGCTTCGAAGGACGCGTGGACTACGTCGGGGCCCGTGCGAAACACAAATGGCAGGATTACAAGAAGTCGTCGTGCTACATCCTGCAGGAGGACCAGCTGTATCCCTTGTTTACGGTGAACGAGGCGATCACCATGGCCGCGGACCTGAAGCTAGGCAGCAGCCTGAACAGGAAAGCTAAGCAGATGCTGATAGACGAGATTCTGGAAAACCTGGATCTCTTGAAAAGCAAGGACACCAGGTGTGACAGGCTGAGTGGGGGCCAGAAAAAGAGACTGAGCATCGCCTTGGAGCTGATCGACAACCCTCCAGTCATGTTTCTGGACGAGCCGACCACCGGTCTAGACTCTTCGGCGTCGTTGCAGTGCATATCCACGCTCCGCAGTCTGGCCAAAGGAAGCAGGACCATCATCTGCACCATCCATCAGCCCAGTGCCGCCATTTACGAGATGTTCGACCACGTCTATCTGCTGGCCGAGGGTCGCTGCGTCTTCCAGGGGTCAGCCTTAAACACCGTAGCCTACTTCAGCAGCCACGGATTTAACTGCCCAAAGTACCACAACCCTGCCGACTTCATGATTGAAGTGGTTAGCCAAGAGTACGGAGACTTCAACGACACTCTAGCCGTGACCGCCCGGAAAAAGGTCTGGAGATCATCCACGCCTACCATAAAAAGCGAGATCTTCACCAACAACGGCATCAGGAGGTACAGCGACGAGGCCAAGGCAACCGTGTTGATCAACGCTCCGTCGGAGTTCAACAAGTTCTGGATCCTGCTGAACAGGTGCTTCATTCAGCTCTACAGGGACTGGACCGTCACCCACTTAAAGCTGATCCTTCATTTCTTGGTGGGCCTCCTGTTGGGGTTGCTGTACGTGGGCACAGGATCCGATGGGTCTAAGACCGTCAACAACATGGGGTACCTGTTGGTCTCCGTTGTCTACCTCTGCTACACCAGCATGATGCCGGCCATCCTCAGGTTCCCCTCGGAACTGCCAGTTCTAAGGAAGGAACACTTCAACAACTGGTACAGCCTGAGTACATACTACGTCGCGTTTCACGTGGCAAATCTCCCAGTCCAGATGCTCTTTGCTGCCGTGTACTCGTCGGTCTCGTACTTCCTCAGCAACCAACCTATGGACCGGGAAAGGTTCCTGATGTTCCTGGCCATGGCGATCCTAATTACCTTCGTGGCTGAGAGTATCGGACTGGTATTGGGGACCACTGTCAATCCAGTCAATGGGACATTCCTAGGAGCCATTGGAACGGCCGTTATGTTAGCATTTGCTGGGTTCCTTGCCCTGTACAACCACATGCCGATCTTCATGTACTACGTCAGCTATCTGAGCTACTTCCGGTACGCTATGGAAGGAATGGCCCAGGCACTCTACGGGTTCAACAGGGAAAAGCTCCCTTGTCCTGCCGAAGTGCCGTACTGTCATTATAGGAACCCTTCCACTATTTTAGTGGAGTTGTCCATGAACGACGCGAAGTTCTGGATGGACATGCTGATCCTAGGCGTGAACATGGTCGTGCTTAGGCTTGTGGCTTACTGCACTCTGAAGTGGAAGATCTCTAAAACTGCATGAGCAACTCGTTAAGGGTTGACTAGGTCTGAGTCCATTGATCTCTGGGGCCAGCAGCATGTCGAAAAGACTAAAGTATTTAGGAAGTGCATAACTAGACTTCTGCTGGAATTCGGTCCCTATCTTATGGTGGAGCAGAGATTCATCTACGAGCCATGGAAGGTGTTGAGAAAAGCTGTTCTGTCTCACAGGACGTGGCCCAACGTCCCCATGGACTTCTTTTTATGGTTATCCATAAGGTGTTCTAGTCCCGGCTGTGAAATTCTTCGTTCGCTGACTTGTAATTTATTATACTTTGAATAGGATGCTTTTGAATGTTTGTTAAACAATGATTAGAGCATCTTGACGAAACCTGGATCCAGGGATCCGGGAACAGAGCAACGAGGGGACCAAGCACAAAGGATCCAAACCTGGCGATGGGTTGAAAGTGTCGCCAGAAGCAGATATCAAAACAGTTTTTCAGTTGATTGACGATACTTCGATCAGGTTCTTTGTTAAACTAACTCATCTGGACTCGAGGATATCGGTGCGGCGCCATTACTTGCCAAACACTTCGAGCAGAAATGACGAAAGAGTCCATCATCTCATCCATCGACATTTGATTATTTATCCTTCTTATCCGAGGATCTTCGGGGGACCAATCATATCCATAATTGTTACATGAACTGCATAAAAGCTATTCCATACAGAAACTATCATCCGATGCCCCTACCAACCGTTTTGGCCCAGCTAGGCGTAGGATGTTGCCCTCGCTGCAAGAGTCATCGTCCTCGTCACTGCGTCATCGCTTATGGGTCAATGTGCTTTAATGCGTCATGTATTTAGCCTGATAAGTCTTCGAATTTTTATATATATATGAAAGGATCCGAGGAGAACTGTTTTGTTAATGTTTGTAGGTATTGGGCACTTTGAAGAGGTATCCTTCCGTGATGTCCAACACTTACACGAGGCATCTCCTGATGCGTTACTGTTGATCAGCGACGATGACAAAGTTATAATTTCTTCCTTGCATCAATATTATTAGATTACCCTTCATTGGCACCAAATGGCTACTAACCGTTATTAGTAACCTGGGGAGTTGGATTTAAATCGATACTTCTCAATCTTCTCCGACAGAAGGGGCTTAATTAGTTCAAGATGAAAGAGATCTCCGAAGAATCTAGATTCTCGAAGGTCATAAAAAACTTAACCCGGTGGGTAAATGCAGGCAAAATATCTGCAATTTTAAAAGACCTTTGACGGCAGTAACAATGGAATGATTACATTAGGTGATACATTATATGACATTAGGAATGATTCCTCTGTGGAGGCGCGGAAGAAATTCATTATGTAAACAGAAACAAATGAGTTGAAACTGAAATGTATCCAGTTTCTTGTAATAGGGCAAAAACTCTGTCAATGTCTCTGCTTTCGCCTTAAGGCGAATCTAATATTGGCGTCATCAGGAAGCAATCATTAGATGAAATTTGTTGCCTATCGCGGGTCTACTGGTATAATCAATTGTCATGTAAATGTGATAGAACAGAATAAAAATGTTTCCCTCGGTATCGAACGCGTTACACTCTGAAGGTGCCAGAATCTTTGACTGAAAATAGAAACCTACTGAAATAGTCTTCAGGTCCCTCGGAATTTTTTTAAGTCGTTGCTTAATGAGCAACTAAGTGTTAATTGTCGAAGTATGTGAATGCGATAGAACTGAATAAAAATGTTTCCCTCGGTATCCAGCGCGTTTACACTTTGAAGGTGCCAGAATCATTGACTAGAAATGGAGACCTCCTTCGGAAATAGTCTTCAGGTCCCTCGGAATTTTTCTAAATCATTGCTTAATGAGCAAGTAAGTGTTAATCTGCTTCATGGTGGGTAGATCTGGCTAGCCGTGTCGTAGGGTAACCTTGAGCGAGTACGTATGTACAAAGTACGCCATGATAATAGAAAACTGGCACATTTATTATGTAATTAATGGTGATAATATTAACTGGCGATAATGAAACGCTTCTTTTTCTCACATGCCCACGTGTTCTCGTGCTGTACAGTACACGCAATTGTCTATTCCTAGCTTTAGTTCTCACTCAATTCGCTCCTTTGTCGTCCGACGATCGCCAAACCCGCAACTCGCGACTTCGCGACATCTTTGCGTGGTGAAGGATAACCTTTGTACCTCTGATTTGAACTATTCATTTTAATTACTGACACAATATCGTACGTCCCTTCCTGATGTAACTTCGGGCACCTCGACGCGACCTCTGATCTTCAATGGATTTAAAAAAATTATACGTCCGTCTGGTAACTTCAAATAAATCAATTCATCGGAAAAATCTTTACAAGCAATCCTAAAATCTATATTGTACATTGAAGTTATTGCCGTTCGAAATCTTCACGTTAAAAGAAAAGCATCCAGAAAGTTATCCTTCCCTCCTACGGGCTCGAATCTTTCTCCACCTTTGCCTATCTAAGTCTATCGACGTGGTCTACCTTAAACTACCTTAACGTCTACTTATAGTCATTACTTTACACCATTAATCTCGACTTTTACATCCCCTTAAACGCACCGCGCGGCCCTGGATTAATGGCACATGCCGGTGGCCTTTGAGTCTTTATATGACAATTTACATTTCACTTCCTCCTTTTTTCACCCCCCATTTCTTCCTTCTCTACCCCGAGGTCGCTCGGATTGGTATATTAAATATTATTTAGTTATTACACTGGGCGCTTTTGCGATGCTTCCGTATCGATAGTCTGGATATTTCGCTCCTGTAACTGCCCGATAGAACCTGGATGAGTGTCTTGCACAAGTTTTCTTTTCATTAGCATCGACTCCAAGTTCCAGGTTTTTCTGTAAGACGTAAGGAGCCTTAATGCGTCACAACCATTTACGATTATTTCCCTGACTTAAACATAATGTTTTTGCTGTAAAAACTGGACACTTTGCGTATGTTTGCTCGCACCTCGTCGAAGGCAGAAACGAGTAAATTCTAGAACCTGTGAGTAACGTTAAAACTTGATGAGTATTGAGGAGCAAGTTTCTACTCGGTGTGATGTTTAAGCGTTCGACTGAAAAACGATAGCAGCTTGTCGATAGCTGCAAACTGCATTTTTGGTTACTCCGTTAATCGAGAAATAGCGACGATTGCAGCGCCGTCTACGGAGGATACGTAAAGAAAAAAGAAAATCTCATTATTACAGGCTACACGCAACATGGTCCAGAGATGAGTTAATTACCATTGTTTTGCCGTGAGCCGGAATATTTCGGGACAAATGTTTTGCAGTGAAATTACTAATGTACGGGACAAATACTTGAACCAGAGATTCTTAACTTCCGAGATCATTCTTAAAATGATGGTTATAATTAAAATTTTTGCAACGAATGAGATGACCGTAGCAACATGGGTAACTAAATAATAATACTAACGATACGAATGATTAATACTGTTATCTTACGGTACGATTTTAATTAATTTCACATTAATTATTAAAATCACCTTATGGTCGGTGAAACAAATAATGAAAAGCTGAGCCCATAATCTAAAATTACATAACTGCAATGTATTTGGTGCGATTGTTATGAACTGTAAAACGTAACGAAAAAAATTTGCGTAAAAAACCGTACCCACCCTTCCCTTCCTTCAGAATTTCAACTTACGACACGTACGTTACACTTGACGTCATACCAACTACGTCAAGCTACGTTGATGGGTATCTCATTCCGTCTAGGTTTTGTGTTCCCTAGGAAACATTCATTATTTTTTTATTAATTTCCGTGGCTTATAAAAATTCTATATAAAGTATAACTCAACTTTCGAGCACCCACGTGTAGTTTTGCCTGTATGTAATAACATTTGCGAATATAATAAATAAGGTAAGTGAAGGGTCAAGACGAAGAGGACGCCACAAGTGTTCTTCCCTTACCATCAAAAGTGAGCAGTGTCGGTAAGCGTAGGTAAGCCACCACCGTCAACTATCGCATGATATTACCATCGCGAGTACGTGAGCTGCCAACAGCAACTGGTAGATGGCACAGCCATCGCGAGTGCGCGAGCCCCTACCAGAAATTCGTTGCGCCGCCCTTGGGGGCAAAAAACGATGAAAGCTAACGTACGAAACCGGAGGGCAGTACACGATGCGATCGCGCGACCCTGCCCGTGAGCAATCTCCCAACTCATCTCTGCCAAATCAGAGATGAGTTGAGAGATTCACGGGAAGGACCGAGCGACCGCGTCCTGTGCGACCTCCGGTGGAGGATGCAGACGGCTAATGCACTTGCAACCTGTTACAACTCTGGGCAGCCGGAGAACCGGCTGAAAAAGTGATGAACTCCTCACAAAAACTCCAAAACCCTATGCCTCCTCCGAAAAAAATCGCAGCCACTAGTTCGAGAGATCGATTTAAACAGAACAACCTTCCCCATCAAGCTACTGTGGACGCAGTTCGCATCGCGA